ATAAAAATGACTGACTGTTAGGTTACCTGAAATTTCAAATTTAACTCAAAATACTTTAAAATATTCTTACTCTATAACCATCATCATGTGTCAGCTCTCCTAATACATTTATGTTAACTGAATACAAAAGAAACGTGAAATAAATATAACCAGGAGGGATGATCAAATCTAATTTTGATACATTAGTGTCATATGCTGTACATGTTACAATAGCAGCCAGACTTTAAACTAAGCTGCAGGCTATACTGAAATTTCCAAATGGCAGATTGTTCTAAGTGATACCAAGTATAATTGAAGTAATAAACGATAGTAAAAGCAAAGCACACTGTCAGGAAGAATTTAAGTATTTACTTTTTAAAATTAAATGAGTTAGGTTTGGAAAGGCAAGACAACTGAAATAATGCAGGGCTCAATTTACTGAAAATTCCTTTTATTTATCTGTTACATTAACCCTTGAACTCTTGCCAAAATTACTGTAATTTCTAATACCCACTTACCTAAAGGAGGCAGAAAAAAGCTATTATATTTTCTTCTGATAGAACAGCTAGCCTCAACTTTTGTCTTCTTGAAAAATGAAAGTGTTTATTACAAAAAGAACAAAAGGAGCAGAGATATATAAAAGAATGGCTTTATGCAGCTACTTTTGTCCTTTTAATGTTAACAGCACTACTGTCTACAGTGCATGTACCTTCTAGATGAATCTTTCACAAAACTTTGTTTCAATAACTATGGTGTGTTTGAGGGTTTTGTTTGTTTGGTTTGGGTTTTTAACAATATGTGTTTCTAATTATAACTCAAAAAAATACTGTACTAATAATTCACATCTATAAACTTTCAAGTTCCCAGTACATGTTAGCAACACAATAAAAACAACTGTAAGTACTGGGAGCTGTGGTTAGGATCATGTCATGCACCACTTAGAATTGTGTAATATACCAAAAGCTCAAGATTAAATTAGTATTCTAATCACTAACAACATTACTCCTTTTTTTTTTTACATACTGTATGTATAAAATTCTCACCTACAATGCCTTCATCCTTTCGGAAGTTTCTCCTAAGGAAAGAGGAACTAGACAGGTGATAGCTCATTTATGTGCCTCTACAACCTTTCTCATTCTGTGAACTGAGTCTTCACATTATTTAGTTCTCATATTCTCTGCAAGCTTGTTCTTGTAATGTTAGTGTAAATATTTTTTACTTTAACTTTTGATTGTAACAAAACCAGAATGGATTACATTATCAGCATTAAACCTTTGATTTTGTGTTTGCAAATTAAATAGTTGTTTTACATACTTATTTCAATCTTGAGTTCCATTACAGAATCAGAAGTTTTTCCTCGGTTCTTGAATTCATGTCTTTTTTTGCTCTTGTTCATATCTTCAGAAACAAATGCTTCAGAGGTAACGAAACACTTAAAAGTTTAATTTACTACTCTCTAAAACTGATGGAAAATCGGTTTTAAAATGGCTTAGTCCCTGAAACAGCAGAATCTTGATTTTACAGTGGCTCAACTGGCAGGAAGAAGTTTTGTTGTAATTTAATTTAATTTCCATTTATAAGATGAACCTATCATGTACCTCTAGGCACATTTACAATATAAAAACCAGCAGCCATTTGAAGCCAACTACTGCAAGTTTGCTTGTTTTTCTCCCATTGAATAAAACAAGACAAAAGATCCCATGAAAGATCTCTAGAGAAGCTCAAATCCCAAATTTCTCTGAAGGTCACAAACAGTACATGCACTCAGAGCAATTAGAACTGTTAGCACTCACATGGCTACACACACAGTGTGTATGAGCTGATTTCATAAAACACAACCCTTTTGCTGATATGTTCAGTCCAAGCAGCATGAGTATTTGCAGAAATAGTAAATGAATTAAGCCTGTTTTCCTACTCATGTCTCCTGATAGCAGTTGCTAATTTATCCCAAGATGTAAACTTCAGCTGATGTTTCTTTCAGGTTTAAGATGAATTTCTTAACATCTCTCTTTGCTACTGGGTCCTTAATATCTAATACTTCTTCCCATGAAGTCTTTACTTGCTGAGTAGGAGCACTAAAAGTCTCACCAACTCTGTTTCCTTTAATTAACATATTATCATTAAACATATACAAAATGAACAGTTTTTAAACATTATTAGATTTGATTGGAATGGGCCAAAAACTGTTAGGGAAGGGAGGAGAAACAGAGAGAGAGGCTCACAAGCCTCTGTTCTTGGGAAAATATTCTGAAAAAGGACAAAACCAGCACACTGAGAAAGAAACCCACAAAGAAATAAAGTAGTTTGATTTAACAGTCAACCAGTAGCTGAGCCACAAATATAATCTCAATCTATTGATACACTCTACATATACTCTACAAATACTCCAAATCACTGATGAGTGAGACTGTTGGCAAAGCAGGAGAGAAACAGGCCTGTGGCAAGCTGGAATTGTGAAGAAGCCCTGCTGACACAATTTTCACAAGCTGAGTCACAGGAAGCCTGGACCAGCACTGAAGCTTTCCTGGCAAGAACAGCTGTATGTAGATGCAGAGTGCTCTGTGGTGGTGTATCCTACCTACCCCCTTGGACTTAGAAATCCTCATTGGGCCTTGGCCTTGACAAACAGCACATGGGCTAAGCTCCTCTTTAGTGTATCAGAAACACTGTCTGGTCCCAGGAGCTTGTGCAATCTAATGAGCTCCTGCTTTTTAATGAACAACCTTGGAAACTTGTTTTTCTTGCATAAATAACAGTCCAAGTGGAACTGGTAATCCAAGTTGTAATCAAACTTTCAAAGAAAGTTACCAACTAAAATTGTGTACAGAATGGAAAATTACTATGACAAAATTCAACTCTCTTGCACCCCTATAAACAGTGGCTGGAAGTGAGACCCTTTGAGCTCTCCTGGCTGCAGCCAGCAATCTCCCTCTGAGCAGAACACACCTCAGAGGCAGCAAACTCTCAAGTCTGCTGTACTTAGAAGATCGCTGCCAAATGCCAACAATGGAGTCTGGGCTGATACTCCTGCTGCTCACGGATCAACCCCTTTCACTTTTTGACAGGATGCAAAGGCATCTGTCATGAGTAGTTCACTGAATTAAAGGAGAATTTTTTACAGGTATATACACCTTGTACATAGATCTGTGTGCATGCAAGTGTAAATGTGCTATAGCAACTGTACTATAATTGTTACTCCGGGATCAAGTACTTTAGATTTTTAAATTCTATAGAACCTTTTGTTAAATTGTATAAATTAAGCTATCAATGTTAAGTGCTATTAAGTTTGCATGCTGGAAAAAGCTTTAAGCCTAAACTGTCATTCAAGTCTGGGGCCAAGTTTAGCAAGGGGATCCACTCTGAACCTTGTGACTCATTGGGAGGATATTCCTCATTGCTATTCATCCTTACCCTTTCCCATGCTTACCCTGTTTTCACACCCTGCCTCCACATAAACCATATTTGGTTGATTTTAGATTGATTGATTGATTTTTACGTTTTAGTCTGACTTTTCTCTGTGTGCTTCAAGTATGCAGTGGGCAGTAGACTGAACCTTGCCAATGACCTGTGTCACACTTTTATTTGAATATTACACCTGCTTTTGCCAATGCCTTGGCTGGTCATTCTTTGAGCTACCTAAAACACTCATTCATGACATGCTCCTGGAAACAGATATGAGATCTTGCCTCTGTGTTCAGCTGAAGTCCACAGTATTTTCAAATTATTCACTATTAATTATTTTTTACTGTGACCTGTCTTTCCTCTTTTCAACACTTTGTAATTATCTAATTCAAACAGATTATAAACAAACATTGTAAGGTTAATTACAAGCTGTGTTTTATAAAACCAGATTTTTGTTTAAAAAATAAAGAAGCCAGTCAACTTAAACAGATCCCCCCCCAACAGTTTTATATTAAAACAGTAGCAACAATCTAATTTTAAAATGAGTTATTTTTGCTATTAATCACCACTATAAATCATTTAACAACCTTAGTATTACCCCGACTCTACTTCAGGAAATAAAGAACAGAAAGGATGCAGAATAATAGGAACACAAGTAAAAGCATTTTTAATTAAAAAACCTCACCAAACCAACCTGAGATGGAACAGTGAGAAGTTAGAATTCATAGTCAGTCTATAATAAGAACAATAATATTTTTTTCTTCAAGTTAAACACAAAAAAAAAGAAGTCATTAATAATTGAAGCTTGCCAGAGGCATGACTATTTCTCTCTTTACTAACTGTCCACCATCTAATTTAATTACAAGTATTAAAGTCCATGCTGAGGTCAACCAGTTTCAGTTCCTCCAATATTACACTTCAACCAGTGCTCATTAACGTGTCTAGTGAATGGATTAGCACAGCTGAAGATGTATGTATGCAGGATGGGGGGACAGTTGTGAGGATAGCTAATTGTTCATTTACAGTAGAACACATGTTTGAGACTGCAACATATTATCACTAATGTGGAATTTATTAAATTCTAAAGAAAAAAATACCAATACAGAACACCTTTTTTTTTCTTAACGCAGCTATAAGAGATCATATCACTGTTGAGAATCTGTGCCTCCTCCAGGACAATACACCTTACATACAATAAACATCATCTTCATATTTTTAATGTTTTTTTTTAAGGGAAAATTATATTAATAACCTGCACTTGACCCTTAAGTGAATAAAAAGTCATCTCAGAAAGCACTCACCATGTACTTCTTAATTGGCATCTAAGGTTTCAAAAGTACTAAGATATCATTCAGACGTAATACTTTTCCTTCTATACAAACCATTACTTCCCTGCACTTTTCATATATTCTTGCCAACAATTCCAGTGATGGTAAAAATCACCAGTATGGTAAAATTACAAATTGGCAGAGAATATACCAACTTAGCAGGTAAAGATATTATGATATTTTATGGTGTTTTTTGGTTGTGTCGGATTTTTTTAGAAATTACTGGATTTTCTTTGACTCTAATTTCTCAATTTATTACCAAGAGAACACTGTTTATTTAGAGACACCTACCTTTTTTGTTAAAGAGTCATCTGAATCAGAAGGCATTCTTGTTGACACATGGAACATTACTTCCACTGTTGAGGTAGCAAAATATGGAGTGGTCAATCCAGTGCTTTTGTTTTTTTGCAGTCCTCCCATAAAGCCACAATGGTTTGTGAGATTTACCTGGAAATAATGACCATGAGACTTTACAAGAAAAAAATTATCAGGTAATAAATACACTCTTTATACTTTAAAATGAACTTTCAACTGAACTCGAAAAGTGAAGATCCTTTTCCCAACAGTATAGTTACACTTTGTTTCTAAAAGAGTTCAGACTTGCTGACTAGACTAGACTGGAAATCAACTACAGTGCACTAGCACTCTATATTCCATGGCCACCACAGAACCTACTGGAAAGATGAGGTTAGAAGAGGAAAGATTGTGTAAATAATATTTACTGCATTTTTCCCTGATCATTTGACTGTAGTCACTTACATGTGCTTTCTTATTTTTTAAAATTCTCTGATACTACATCAACCTTGACCTGAGCTCTATAAAAAACTCTGTGTAACAGGGAATTTATTACCTTCCATATATTTTTTTGAGAATTTTTCATTTTGTGAATATTAAAAAAAAAATCACAGGAAATTAACTGATAATTTATAAATAAGATTTTAAGTCTTAGATCAATGGGAAATAGTCCAACACTGAAATAAGGAAACATGCTAAATGTGATGTTTCACCTTTAAAGCAGTGACTACAAAAAGTTGTTTTTCAGATGTAAATACATTTTATCTCTGCCTGCATGTGATATATTTGTTTTCTTGATACTAAAGGATGCAGAATTTAATGTTAAAATGTTAGGGAATATGAATCTCATTAGGGAATATTAACCCAAATGAGCAACTCTTTAAACTAGCTAATACTGCCTTAAGAGAATTAAACCACTAAAGAAGGATATTTTATGGTACTAGTGTTGTTTTTTTTTCCTCCTGATTGTGGGAAATAAACATCTTTGCTCATGAAAGTCAGCAGACTTGTAGCTGTTTTCCTCTGTTCCTGTGGGAAAGTCAGAGTCATTATCCACACAGTTAATCTGGTAGTGTCCTTTTATACCTACGGAGTAAAGAAACACCAAGAATAAATAAGATAGACACTCATGTGGACACTCCTGATGAGCACAAGTTGCAAGAGGAGCAAAAAACCATCAGATTCCTATATAGCCAACCACGACCAAAAGCTATTCTTGCATTCTGTGCAACAGTGCCAAATTGAACTTTACAGTGGTAATTAATACTGTGTATCTGAAAGAAAGATGGAAAAAAGGAAATCCTTATGACAGTATTGAACGAGTGACTAAAGAGTTGCAGGTCCACATAGATGATGGAGTAGATCACAGTATTTCTGATTGGTGAAAGAGAAATAGAGTGGAGTGTGTGAACTGATACATGCATGCAGTGGAAGGCAGGAAGAAGAGAGTATATGAGAAGCTGCTTGTCTGTACTTTTTGAAGTTCCGAAATTGAGCAAAGCTCAGACTTCAATGGACTTAACACTCTACAAGCTTACAGAAAAATCAAGATGTCTCCTAATCAGTCCATGAAAGCCAAGTACAGGACTGCACATTAAAGAATTATCTTAGCCTGCACAGACTTTCTTCAGTTGTTGAGAGCTTGAATTCAAATGGCTAGTAATGTTAATGAAACTAAAACATGAATTCTTCTCTAAATCCCATTTTTAAACCAGTATATTTCAGTACTTGTGAGAAATGCTGAAGAGCCAAAGACTTGCAATATATGAAGGTACTGGTAATTGTCTTTGCAAAAAAATCCTAGGATAAAAACATTTAATAAATACCTCCCAGCCAAGACCAGCTACAAAATCCTCATAGGCTTGACTTCCCCCAGTATTCGTAAGAATGGAGTGTTTATCTTCCTGTCCCTCAGCAACATAAAACACTGCAATCTTGTGTGTCTCTCGGCTGTAAAACAGAATGGTCATTGCATGAAAGTGCCTTAAGCAATATGAAATTAAAATATGCAAACAATAAAAACAGAGCATGGCTTCTAAAGCATAAAAAACGTATAGTGGAATTACAGTACAATTACACGGCTTCTTTTTGGATATCCCCTATATTTTCATGCCCTCATTCTGTCCTTTCTAGAGTCATCTTCTCTAGAGCCTGAAGTTTTGCTATACATGAGCAACATTTACCCCTTTTATCACATCTAAGATGCAGGATGATGCTGCCTGTACCAGTTACTGATGGAATAGGTGGGCTTTTGACATTGGCAAAACCTGTAATGTGGGCATTATCCACACTGCACTGCCCATTAACAACAGTACCTTCTGAACACTGTGAAAATGCAGCTTGTCCAACTGAATGAAGAATCTTTACACATTTTTTAAAGACCATAATAACTTAAATGTCTTCTGTTGACAGGTTATTTTAAGACATTGGAACAAATGGAGATGGTTTCTCACACTTCTAAAACTTCCACTGGGTTTTGTTTCAACTTCTACAAAAAAGAATCCATTTTCAATTCTGTCCTACAATTCTAACTAGAAGTCTGTATTTTCAAATACTGGGACCATTTGAAACAGCTAAACAATCAACCAAAACTTAAAATGTGAAGGCCTTGATATATCAAATTTTTAAAAGAATTAAATGTTATGCATTCACAAACACTTATAATTATAAGGTGTTTTGAAATTTGTTTATCTCACGGTATTTTATGTGCAGAATTTGACCATACAAATAAAACCAATGCAACTTCAGTAGAACAGAAAAAACTACGGTACAATGCAAAATACATTAATAATTAAAAAAACTATTAAAAAAGTCAGCTCCACTCTCACATCTATGCAATTAGAGCCATTCGAGTAAAAGCACACTTAAAACATGTAAGTAGGCAGTCATTAAAAGAATTTACCATTGTCTTGAATCCAGATTTCTGAGTTCTCGAAGTAACTTCTCATTTTTCTTCAGGAGATGAAAGCTCCTTCTAAACAGAGAAAATTGGAGCTCTTTTATTAACTCTTCACTGATGGATACAGAACAGTACAACAACGGTACAACAACATACCCAGGTCCACTCAGGAACAGTCAACCAATGCTTCTGCCTTTTCAACAGTCCTTTCTTAACATATAAAAAGTAAGATATCTTAAAAATATATACAAACAATTTTTCTTACTCCAGCAAATCTTCTACATTCATTACAGCCCTAAGTAAACCTTTATTTCATTCCACTTTCTTTTGTCAACCCATTGGATCTGACTGGGATCCATTTCTTCTCTACAGAAGAACCATAAAATATATATATTTACTGACAAAAGACACTCCCATTAGTCTACTGTTGAAAGGGGTGGGTACATTCAACACAGAACTTTTGTTACTCTGAACTACAGAGCAGAACTCAGCTCAGTAATCAGCCAGCCAGCTGTAACAATTTAAACAAAAAACGAAACCAATATGTTAGAGAAAGAAAGGCAGTTTTAATGTCTTTTCAACTGTGCTTAAGATGTTTCCCACAAAACACTGTGGAATTAAGAGCAGTCCTCTTCAAAACCAGAATGCCTTGAGGAATTACAGACCCAAATAAGAAGGGCTGTAACACCAATGTTTTGTCTGATTCCAGTGATACCTCAGTGACACAGATTATTTTTGTTTTACCAAATATCCACTTCCCTTCATAGCAGGAAACTATATAAATGATTCCAATATGAAATTTGAAAGCAGCAGCAGCAGAAGATTTCAGAAAGACCCATAAATTCTAGGATGCTAATATTTCTACATACCCCCATGTATATGCAGACATACACTTAACCACACAAACACAAAAATAATAATGTTAAAGAGACATTACTTCTGTAATTGAACATGGTTCTCTCCTGTTCTAAACAATATTCAAACAGTTCTCAAGCACAGCCAATGTTGAAATAACTAGTAGAGGACACATCTTTCTCATTAGCTAATACACATGCAAGGCTTTGAGGCTGCATGCAAGCATGATTTTAGCAGACAAAGCAGCAGGACACTGTCCAGTGACACAATAGCTGAGAATGTGACACTTTCTGACTATTATTCTGACATTGAAATGTAATGATTTTTGCAGCAACATACATGGAAAGCAAAGAAAATACATGATTCCTTCAATTTCCCTTCCAACACTTTCTAAGGAAAGACTATGAATCACAATAAATGCAACATATTCCTCCTTTCTGTCTCTCTAAATGACAGGCTGAAAAGCAGAAGAAAGCTGTCATTTAGGCCTTAGATACACATTCCCTTTCTTTTGTTAGCTGGCCTGGAATATTTTTGGCTTAACAAACTCTATTATCAAGGTAAGAACAGCACAGTTACTTAAAAAAAAGTTCTTAAAATATGAGTTGTTTTACCTTTTATCCCATGAATTCATTCCTAGTATACTGAGAAGTAACCTACAGTAGTAAAATGCTGACTGTGGCTTTTGTGAGGTTGGCTCATCCTGCTCCATGGCCCTCATATTTACATCATTGAAATGCTTTTCAACAAACTCTCTCTCTTCTGTATGCTGTTTCAGAATTGCATTGATGACATCATTCTCCTGCTTTTCTGAGATGCAGACTGGTTGAGGAGCAGGGATGTTGAGTGAAACACCAGTTCTCTGTAAGCATTCAGGGCTTGTAACACCTAAATACTGCAGCAGCTCATCAAGAGCATCTTCTTCATCCCTAATTGTATCCCATGTTGGTACAGTGTCTCTAAATTTCCTTTTAACTTGGAGTGTAATTCCATCTCTTGTAGATACATCCTCCACATGCTCAAAAGATGAAAGAGAATCTTCTGGTTTATCTTGCTGAGATAATGAAAGTGCAAAAGATGCTTGTTGTGAAGATCCACATAAAGATGATGGTCCATACAAAATGGCTGAATCCCATGAGTATTTGCCAGACAGATCACGCACTATAATTCTAACATTTGAATTAGCTGATGCAAGTCCAGCAGACAGTCCTCCCCCAGGCGTATCGTCTTCTGCTTGGATTTGTATGCAAGACACCAGGGAAGTATTGTTTAACACAAAGAATTGAAGATTTGGGTTCTCAAAAAGTTCAGGAGAAAGCTCAGGACTTTCACTGTATGGATTGTCATTGTTTTCACACACTTGACTGGTCAGCATAGCAGGACCTCCGCTCATAGGATAGTGGCCTAAGTGGTTGACTAGATGTGTTATCACAGTACGAGCAGCAACAGAAATTAATCCTTGTTGCATGTGAGTTTTCACTGCAAGAGAAAGAGCACAGGTTTTAAAAGAAGAGTTCAGAAAACAACACTGAGATTTATGTGTTTCTTTTGGTCTCTTCCTGAGAGAATGAGCACGGCAAGCTGAGGATACATGCAACCCAGTAACAGAAAAATATGTATGTTGATGACCATTGCCCTTGTATATAAACAGCATGAAAAATCCTAAAACAGTTACAGAACCATCTCCATTATTTTATAGCCATGTCTATGTCTACAGATTATACTTCCTTTGCCATAGCTTTGTTATCAGCATTGTTCTTCTAAAATACACAATTTCTTATCTAGTAAAAATAAATCTTGAATTGCTGTTTAAGCAGTGATCATAACTGTGTTGCAAGATGTCCATTCCAACTGCAGTGCATTTTTATATTTATACACATCATTACACTGAGAAATACAAAGGAAGATAGATGCACAAAAGGTCTAATCCATCCTAATTTCCCTGGGGAGCATATAGATGTAGGTTAGCTTAAGAATAGCACTGGATAATTTGAAAGCCCAAAATCAAAGACAAAGCTGTCTATATTGAACATGATCTAATATTATCAAAGTTTTCAAAATGAAATCTCATGCCACAACTACATGTTACATAGTTTCAGATTAGAAAACCTTGGGAGGGAGAAAAAAAAAGTTAATTGTGCCCATCTTATGTGAAATTTATTCTGTGAGATGCACTGGTATTTCAACATGGTTCTTGCCACCACCTTCTTTACTGCATATCTTCTACTTGCACATTACGTCATCTAAATTCACAAAAGGTATTTTTTTGTTTATTTCACACCCTGCTAACACAGTACTATACTGTTATTTAATTATTCTCAATAAGTCCACAGTACATGAAGTACATGAGCTGGACAAAGTGACTCTCTCAGGCAGACAACTGTCAACTGGTTCAGGGACCCACTGAAGAACCCATACACAAAAATATTACACTGCAGAATAAGACTGGCAGAAGAGGGAACAAAGATCAAAATGGCAAAGTACTTGTTTCCTGTATCCTCTCTCTTGTAACTGGGCATGGATGCCCTGAATTTGGGATTTACAAAGAGAAGGTCAAACAACTGTACTTCTCAGGATTACATAATGTATTTTAAATTACATTCAACAGTGAAAACTGCTGCAAACACTTCCTATCTTTTTTCTCACCAAAATCCATCAAACCAGAATGTTCTGAATGATGTTACTTTTTAATTCAGTATTTATTGAGAATATGTAACCTCTTGGGCATGGAAGTAAAGTATAATTAATTAATCTCCCTTTATGTTGGATATTCACAAGCTGCAAAACCTAATGTTTAATAAACAAATTTCTCAGTTTCAGATGTCTTAATTAGTTTAACTGGAAAAATAAAGGCAAATTTGTGATGTGTACTGACTGCCATTATAGATCTTCAGTTTCTGACGATGGATGCATTTGGCAACTGTGAAAAAAAACAGGTAGTGCGTATTTGCCTTTTTTTTCCCCAAAAAGATTTGGGTACAGCATGTAAGAGATGCTTGGGATTCTGGCAGGTCTATTCCTTTAGGAAGCACTACATCTGAACTGCAAATAGGGAAACATTTCATCCAGTTAATAGCTGGCAAAATCAACATAACATTTACACAGTTCTAAAACTCATATCTGCGCAAGTATTTTAATAAATTAATGCCCTGAGAATTAATACAAGCAAATTAGAGATTATATTTTTATCATCTATAGCTTCTTAAGATTTAAAATTTACAAATACAAAATTATTCAGCGATGTTGAATTACATGTCCAGATACTGGCAGCATGCAAGGAAATTAAGTTATAGTGCCATCTGCTGAAACAGAAGAAGGAACTGGAAGCAGATTTTATACAAAACAAAGAGAAAATAAGCTGGGTGTTTGAAGAACCATTTATCAGCACATGACTGACTAGCACCTAGACAATGCAGAGGGTGGCCCATCTTTATCAGGATATTTATACCAAGTATTTAGCACTTGTCACTGCAGAGATAAATAAGGTAATACTTTTCTCAGGTTCCCAGGAGCAGAGACACACAAGCTTTCCAGATACCTGAAGTCCCATTCTATAAAGGTTAAATGCCCCCTATTAAATTCTGCTGAGAAACCTGAGGACATAAGGACCTGCTAGCATATGTTATTACTATTACTGTTGTGTGGCAAACCCTAAAGATCTCGAACTGACCATGGCTGTTTTGTGCCTCTGTATGTGAATTTACTCCCTTAGGAGCCTAAGGGACATATGGAAAAGAGAGGTGACACAGTCATATGAAAAGGGGAACAATTAATTTAAATTTGGAAGATCTATTCTCAGACCTAATGCAGCCTTGCCCTGAAACTTTTCACCTGAATTAAAATCATAAATCTGTCATTGTTTCTTTTATAAAATTTGAACTCTACACTGAGTCTTCTCTCAGAATGCAGTGCTGTTGATGTAAAAATGACACAGAAAAATTAGAAGTATCAAGAGAAGTATACTGAAAAGTAGACTGTAAGATGCAACCTGTTGTGTTGAAATTAAATACAATAATCTTGGAACATTTTTGCCACACAGAAAATCAGATTTTGATGATGGTTTCCCCAGGAATAAAAAAGGAAAAAACCCAACCCATTTTGAAATGATGAAAATTTAAAATTAATTTTGCAACTTAATTTATTCCTAGATGTACATCTCCTCAATCAGGAATAACTGAACATTCAATACATTAAAACCTTAAAATGAGTATCTAAACCATGCTCTTTGTTTCTGGAGGGCAAACGAAAATAAGTAATAATGCAAGCCATCACAGCTTTAACACAAATTCTACAAATTAAGTCATATCTTTACACATTAAGGCAGTCCAGCTCACTGCTTTGTGGACCTGTCTTCCTGAGAGAATACATCGCTGCTTTCCATACAATGGTACTGCCTCTGACTTGGGCAATGTCATTTAAATACGTACATGATCATTGGGCAATTTACAAGAAGTATGTTATACTATTTATTTTTCTCAGTCCTGAAATTACCTCTTTTGTGGAAAGGCTGAAGGTCTTCCATCACTACTAATTTGTATCTATAGCATGAATGAAGGATTCCAGACTTTCCTTAAGATGTGCTGCTAACTTTTTAATTCAACTTTGGCTGAACAGTTTTAAGCAACTATAATTATGTAGTAGAAGTAAAAAGTAATGACTGAAGGGGGGATTTAATTCTCCTTATCCTTTTAGCTGTCTAAAGAATGATGACCTGTACAGACTGATTAATCTCAAATCTCAATGGGATGAATCACTCTCTAAAAACACTTTTTCTTTCATTATGTTTAGAGGGAGCCTAAGAGTGCTCCTCTTAGCTTAGTTTCCTGTATTTTACCTTGGTTTAAGCAAGTCTCATTCCTTCCTAATTTTAGACTTCAGCTATATAGACATAGGAGAGCCCATCTCTAGATTATTCCCCACAAAACACAAACTGTGTTAATCTAGATGCACTCTGTACAAAGGATTTTTTTAAAGTGCGTATTTTGTGTCCTTTCAGTAAAATGGCAAACAGCAAACCCTTATATGAAAAGCATTTTATATTTCTACCTTTTAAACAAAAGCTAAGACTAGACATCAGGCAGGGAAGATTTTTTCATTGGAAATTGAAAAATATTAGAAAAAAAATTATCAAATTATCAAGCTAAGCAAAAGAGTTTTAAATATGTTTGGAGAAATATGCATAATGGGGTAAAAATCAATCAAATCAATAACTGATAGACCACTGTACATGTAAGGTTACTAGAACCTTCCAATCACAACTACCTCCAACAGATCTGTGATCTATGAAGAACCGCTTTCAAAATGTTTTTGTCTATAATAGCAAAAAAAACCAAACTTCTCTGTCATATATGTTTATGGTCCTGAAATTAAACAAAAAAGTTCAGAAGTACGTTAGCCGGTTGTGGCACTATGAAGTCCAGGTTGGCTTAGGAACATCTAAGCTGGCTAGTTAGGTGCAGTTAATTAGAACAGTGGGTTTGTGTGGCACAGTTTTGGTAGCGTGGGGCTTTTCTCTGAAAAGCTGCTAGAAGTTCCCCCTGTGTCTGATGAAGACAATGTCAGCCAGCTCCAAGCTGGACCTGCTGCTCACCAAGAACTGTAGTTTGTGGGAAGGACTTGTAGAAGTCTCCTGTGTGAGGGCCCCCATGCTGGAGCAGGGGAAGAGCATGAGGAGTACTTCCCCTGTGGAGGAAGGGGCAGCAGAGACAATGTGGTGAATTGACTGCAGTCCTGCAATCCCCATCCCCCTGCACCACTAGGTTGCAAGGAGGAGGTAGAGATTTACAATGAAGTCAAGGCCAGAAAGGAGGCAGGGGTAGGGGTATGATGTTTTGAAGACTTGGTCTTATTTCTTATTATTCTATCCTGGTTTGCTTGATAATAAATTCAATTAATTTCCCTAAGTCAAATCTATTTTGCCCATGACAGTGATTGGTGAGTGATTTCCTCCTGTCTTTATCTCAACTCATGAGCCTTTCCTTATATTTTCTCTCCCCTGCATAGATGAGGAGGAGAATAATGGAACAGCACTGGTGGGCAGCTGGCATCCAGCCAGGATCAAACCACCACCATCACCATTTGTATGCCTCTACTGTAGCTAGAGCAGGTTGTTGCCAACACTAACGAGAGGAACTTCACACAGACAAGCCCAGGGATTCTTTAGATGTATGAAAGCATCACAGACCTGGTGCCTGCAAGTTCTGATGTTGCAATGAAAGCTTCCTACTAATCTCCTTACTGAGAGCTGCTAAAATTTCATTCTGGTTTAAATGTAACAGTTTAATATACTTAATACTTAATTTTAAAGTTATTCTTTGTATATCTCATACTAAAATCTACCACTTTACCAGCTACAGAAAGCAGAACAAAGATACAGATAATCCTAAGTTAAGAGCTTCCTTGTGAGTGACAGAACTTGTAAAGTTACTGAAAAAGAGAAGCCAATAATCATCTTCTCCCTCAACACACGCCTGTTCCCAGAGGATTTAAGAAATCTTTGTTCTGCTGTTTATTGCATGGCTGGCTCCACACCTCTCGGTAGATCCTGTCTCCACTACACAGCTGTGTCACTCTAAATCCTGTATCTTCTTGGTCTCATACCACATTATACTGTATCCACAAAACTTGTGATGGTTCTGACCTCGAACAATAGAGACAAAACAGGGTAAATCAATCACATCAATTAAAGCATCCTGTCTTAAGAATTCTGTCACTTCAGCACTTTCAGCTTTGCTTGTGACCTAAGGAGTCTCACAATTCCTCCCCTGTTTTTGTAGAACTTCCCTGAATTCTCTGTAACTTCTGCCCTGCTCATTTCCATTCCTTCAAAAAAATACTTTGACAGCTATTTCACTCTACTAAAAGATGCTGACCCATTGGCATACTGCTCTGCTGCCAGCTTGTACTAATTGACCCTCTGTCTTGACAGAGACCCAGACTGGTTGTTATCCACTAGTTTTACTCCTCTCACTCCTCCAACAATGCCAGGGAGAACAGATGCTGTGCTACCGGTTAAGCACTGCCAATTTTATTTTCTGCCTGGCAATGGGGACTAGAAGTGCAAGGTTGCAGAACCAGGGTTGCATTATAGTGCTGTAGTCTGCCAATTAAATTTCACAGTCTAGCTTACAATTCCAGAGCCCTGAAACTTAATTTATCTGAAGAGATAAAAGGAACATCTAAAATTACTTTTATTAAGAAATTTAACAAGAAATCATAAAAGAAAAGATCACGGTTGGAAATGTGAAATGAAGACATTGATGCTAAGGCTTTGTGCAACTGTATTCATTTAAAGAGAAATCTATTCAGGGTTGTCTTTTCAGATTGTCAGATTAAAAAAGCCACACAGCATTTGCTTCTAACCCATAATTACAGATTATTATGGAATACAAAAGATGCCAGGCATAAAAAGCTACTACAATTCACTACACTGTAATAGAACATGCAGTGGAAGTAAATTTTGGCAAATGCTTTAAATATTAGCTTTACATAATATGTATAGGTGAGACTGTAATTAGGACAGAATGAATCCTTCGAAGCCTCTTTCATTCTGACCCTGCAGATGATTACTTTTTGCTAATAAGGCCACAGCCATTTGACGAAAAGCCAACTATAGTACCTTGCTTCATTCTTCAGTAAATTTAATAATTACAGCTTCTCCTGCCAGTAGTTCTCAGATCAGACTTGTTCAATCCAATACTGAGCTTATTAGGAGACAGCTCTATGTTTAGAATTCTTTGGCCAAAAAAGTACTTGAGGATGATGAAGCATGCCTTAGACAAGGGCACAATGATTAGCCATTTTCTCTACATAAAAAACAGCACGTAGTCACTACAGACCACAAAATCACCTGCTGTTAGCACACAGCTGCTACAAAGAACTGCTGCATTTATCTGGTTCTTAATACCTTAAAAAAGCCTAAATGGAACAACTTAATACAGAGGCAGAATAGCACTACATAGAGTTGCTCGTACCTTAATCTCATATTTTTCAATTTTCTTCCCAATGTAGCCATTTGATATTTACTAGATACACTGAATAATATTTGATAGTCCTCTGTAGCTTAGATTCTTGATTCTTTATTTTTGAGTTAAGAAGAAAACATTAATTCCCATGTCTCTTGAGGTTCTAACCAGATAAGGGAAAATTTCTCTCTTTTTAAACAGATCTGTTGTTTTAAGCAGTGTAAAAACAGATCAACAATGAATTATGATAGCATAAAAAAATTCATGGAAAGCATTCAATACTACAATGTCAAACAGGAACAAAAATCCAAAATTCTCCTAGAATAAGGAGCAAAATAAGGAAAATTTCAAATTACTTTACTGAAAGTAAAATGAAAAGCAACATTTATCCATGTTGCAGTACTTAACACTTCTGCTGATACACAGAGTACAGAAGAATCCATATCATATTGATCTTGGTGTTGTTCAGACCATACTTATTTCAGTTAATCAAATGGTAATTGCTCAAAATTACATTTGCTCATTCCATACTAATGGTTCTTACCTAGTGTCTACATATAGCTGAAAACCTGTGCTGTAGGCCAACACTTCAACACTGAAAACCTAGACAAAATTTTTTTGAAAGAAAATATATTTAGGCAATTAGACAAACCTTCAGTAACTGGCTGAAGTTTAGAAGACCTCTCTGAGTCTGGAGAATGCAGTGGTTCTGGTTCCTTTAAGCTCTCTAAATGCATAAAAGGATCATAATCCATACATGCCAGATCAGAAAGGCTTAGAGGAAAATATTTTGGGTTGCTAAAACACTGAGACCCATAGACACATCCATGTAGAACCTAGAAGAAAAGCAGAATTTCATTACAATAACTACAGAAATTTATAATTTATAGTTTTATAAGAAATTAAGTTTATTTTTATTTGTATTTTAAGAATCTATTTCTTAGAAGGCAGGCATGACAAAATGTTAGAAAATTTTAGATGCTTAATATTTACAGAAACAAACTCTGGTCTGCAAAGAAAATTATTATCACCCAAGTGGAATTTAACAATAATGAAAGAAAACCTACAAAAACTCATTAAGCTATCTTTATTTTTAGATCTCCTATCTTCGTTAATTACATATGCTAGGTCTAAGCTGCTAGAGGTTTTAATCCCCTTCCCTTGCAAAAAGGATAAAAACCCCTTTCTCCTGTGTTCCTAAAGACAGTAATTGTAACTTAGTGCTTTTTGCTTTGCTCATTAATAAATGAAATTGCTTGCTATATAAAAGTTACATCCTTTTGTATTAAATGTTAGTCTTCTACAATACAAGCATCTGCAATCTATATGACATACAAAAAAAAGAGCTTGGTTAACTATCCAAAATGTAAAACAAAATCTACTATTCCAAATATACCAAAGATCAAGCTGTTGCAGTGAAACATGCAAGAACTGAGCCAGCAATCTATATTTCAGGAGTAGAACGGAGGTCAGCTTACAGAAAACTTTTGCTTTCATTTCCATGGAAACTGTCACTACCTCCATACATAGAAACTTTTAATAAGTGAGCAAAGAAACATGTACCTTATATATACAATTAAGAATGGATCTTTCAGTCTTATCATTTTCTGCTCCTGTAGTATGAAGCGGCTGCAGCAAAGTCTTCAATGGCAAGGCCATTATCCAATCCAACAAGCACAGAAGTAAAGAAACCACCAACTGGAAAAAACACTTTCCATTACAAATCAATTAAGCCAGCACCTGCTACTTCATATTTATCTCTTTACTTTATTTCTCTGTTTTGCCTTCTTTTTTCAATTCAGTAATAGCAGGTCCCACTTGTTAACGACTGTAGCTTCAAAACTTAATGGCGTCAGTAAAAACTTTGGCTACGGAGGTATTTAGCAAAGGCCATCCATTCAACAGTTTCTCATCAGGGTAAAACTGTGAGCAGATACTATACTTAAGAGGATACCCACAGTTTCAAAATTGATTTGCAGGGTGTTGTTTTTAAAATGACAGATAACACAGGTCCAACTTAAGGCTGATGCACCATTTTGCACATAAATTTCACTGTAAAGTGAATCAAGGATTAGACAAAATGGAACTAATTCACCTGTATTTAGTGCTTTATAAATAACACAGAATGTACTTTATAACATATCATTCATGTTATGCAGCATTAGGTATCATCTGAAAGAAATCCAACTGCTTTCTGTAGTGTAGGTTACTCAGCAAAATAATCAAATCCCTCTTGGGATGTTTTGAAAGACTCTGGAACAGAATTAGATTAAGACACAAATCCACACCAAATCATCAATAACTTACAGAGAAAATAAATGTTTTTGATTTTTAAAACTCAGCTGTGGAAGAGAAGACAATATATCTGCAAGATTCTCTAAAATATTTCTCAAGGTAAATAGAAGTCTTTAAAAAATCCATTTACCTAATATACTAATTTCACATAACACATTCCAAGCTTGTCCCTCAAAAGTATAATAAACCTAATGATGAAGGGCACTGAGTCTTTTTATTTTTAACCAATTTTTCAGGAACCCATTAGGACTACATTTGTCAAAATGGATAAGATGTTTTTTTATTTGATATTTCATGTACAACGATTGACAGTAGCTCATGGGGAAACTTGGTCAATTATGGAAAGCATCCTCAAGGGAAAAGTGGGTAGCTTGGCCTATGAGCATAGACTACAACTGCCCCTGACTTCTTGCAGAGACAGAAGATGAAACAGAGCTCTGAAGACCAAAATGAACAACAGATGAACTCCAGCTCCTTGTGGGAATGGTAGCCTAGAATGATGGAGCTGTCAGCAATAAACTGCACCAAAGTGCCCAAATTTGAATGACCTAATAAGCCCCACAGTAAAGCTAATTCAGAAGAGACACAGCTTGAAGCAGAAAATACTAGAAATGAAAAATACTTACCCTCTTGTCCTGCTCATAAGAGGAAGCTTCTGTACTGGGTAACAGATGTGTAATAGTCGCTATCAGAATCTGGGGAAATATACCATATTTCTTTTAAAATAGAGCCTAAATATTTAAGTTTAAAATAATTTTTTAAGCAGGTAAATCTAACATGATAATAGATTCACGGTTAAATTCTATTACAATGATTTTGAGACAAGTTACAGTACTCCTTGACAATTTTTTTTAAATAAAAACATTTCTAATTGAGTTTTGTGGAATACATTGAAGGAGTATGTTCTGTTTGACTGATGTAGGTGCATTAAGAACAATGAAATTACACAGCTACCTCAAATATTCAGGCATAAAAAGAACATGACTCAACACACTTGTAGGACACGGGAAGAAATCAGGCGCTGGTTTGAGTATGGTGCTATCTGAGTTACATTATTTCTGAGAACAACTAGAATTTGTATACACCCTGTCTCTATTTGATCAAAAATATGTCTCCAGAGGAGCACAGAAATGCTTGCTGTATCTCTTAAGAAGCTTTCACATGAAAAGAACCTGGGAGCCCTCTGTATTTTCTCTATGGCTCAGACTCACAAAGGCCATAATCTACCTCCTTGTTATGGGAAGCATATTCAAAATATTATTTTTGCTTTATACTGGAAGTCTTTCATGGATATGCAAAACACAGTTGCAGATCCATATCTTAAGCAATAATTTTCTTCCTGAATTTAAATAAACATGCTTGAAGATATCAAATATTAATAAAAAAATTATACTTTACTGACAACATTCTCATGATGCTTTTTCTCTGAGAAAAAACAGGCATGATATAAACGCATTACATGTCAATACTTGAGTCAGGAAGTTATGTGTGCTGCAATTCCCTACTGCTAGTGTTAATTAAGATTATGTTTATACTAATTCAATGTTTTGCAAAACATAATTGTCAATATTCAGATGTTTAATTTTAGGGTAATACATTATAGTGTTTCATTTTAAATAACTGAAAATTTAAATTTTAAAAAAATTACTTACTTGAATAATTCTTAAAGGTGAATCAGCTTGATATAGTTGAAGTCTATGTACATAATGTATCAGCATGTTCAGCATACTGCAGGCAACCTGGGCTACTGTTTTATTTGGAAACTGGAAAAGAGAACACAGCACAGTAACAATGACAAAATTATTTCATGTAAGAATACATTAGGTAGTAGGGTGGTCACAAATTTCACTCGTAGTTTTATACATATAGTTACTTAAGTATCTATTTACCAGAGAAACAGAATTAATTTTTAAAAAGCTCATAAGGACCTACTTTATATTCATAAACAAATGTTAGCAGCTAACACCAAAATTTTGGGACAGATATCCAGTGAGTTGCACACTAGGAAGGGGAGAACTATTTCCTAACTAACTTCAGACTGGTTAGTACAATTATCATGAAGCCAGAAAGAATTAATTAATTTCTTGTTATCTTGATTATTATTAATATTAATGAATTACTGCAAAGCCCCCCAAGGATCCAATTCTGAATTCAGAAGTCTTTGCTGAGAGTCAAGGCAAGTGAAGAGTCCCATGCCCAAAACACAGCCTGTGATACTAAACATGAGCTGAACAGTTCTATCTGCCAGCGACTGCTGTGCCCAGCGCATGTTGGAATGGAAATGAATTCACCTTGGCTTCTGTGCTTAACTCTGCTTTTCCTTTAAAGGCAGGAGAAGGTTGCTGCTCTGCAGCCTGTTTTCCACAGTTTCTGTGCTGGTCAAACCAGAAAGGAACACATTTGTACAACTAATTCCCAGTCTCAGGAGGGAATGCACACCCTGTTCTACACTCCTAAGTGGAAAAACAGAATTTAAAAGAAAGGGATGTGTTTCCCTAAATTATTGATGCACAAGACATGTAACTGAGTTTTTTTACCTTCACTGCACTTGCTTTAAAACATTAAGATGTTCAGCAAATGACAAGGACAAAGTAATTATTACAAGTGAAATCCTGCATTATTAAGACCATATTTTATTTGTTTCAATCTCACTATATTCAGCAGCGAAACTGTCACAGATATGTGCTGCAAAATGGCTCTCTACTTCTGAATTCAGAAAATGGCAATTATGCTGTAAAAACGCTTAGATGTACTTTCTTGGCTTCATAGGCTTTTTTCTTACTCAGACCACTTCTATTAACCCTTCAGGGAGAGATGCATCTCACAAAACTTAAAAAACCCAAACCTTTAAGAAAGCTGAAATGCCTGGGAAAAGAAGACTGAGTAGAAATAAAGATTTTAGAATAAAATTTTGGAATGGCAAAAATTTCTGAATGGCAAAAACTTAAACTGACAACACGCTGGAAGAAGACTCTGTTCTGCGTCAGTGCTTCTTTATCTGCTTATCAAAGCAGCGCTATCAATTTTTACATTTAAAGTCTTGCAAAGCAATGGTACAAGCATAAGGAAAAGTCTGGAGTAAAAAGTTGTAATTACCATTTTTTATTTGTGGTATCTATGTAAGCAAAAGGAAAGATTTTGAATGGCTCTTGCAAGTCATCCAGGGAGATGGAAAGCTGAGTACACAATGCGTAGTTAATTTTTGTTCTGACTTTCCCTATTTCTCAGTGGATGCAGTTTCCTGTTATCATTGACTTTTAGCTCAAAACAGTAAACATCTCACATCTCCAAATCTTCACAAACTATATGACAAGACTAGCATTACTTTTATATCCCTCATGAGAATGACTCCTTCCATGCTGTGAAAGTACTCTGTAGGAGCACAGTAAGCAGGGTATAGATTCTAATGCTTGAGCTTGAGTGGTAACCAAAATAAAAAAACAAACAAACAAAACACCAAAACAAACAAACAAATAAACACAAAAACCTACAACAACAAAATAAAAACACAAAAAAAAGAAAAACCAAACTGAAAGCATGACAATTTGATTACAGAACTTGAGATCAAATCCAGATTGCTCAAAACATCCTAACAAGCTTGCAGGAAAACTCCAAAATCACTGGAGATTTAAAATGGGGCGCACAAACTGGGGTAGCCCAATACAGAGCATCCTGATCACTGAAAGTAAGAAAAAAAAATACCTGAGAAGAAGACCTGGAGACTTTTCATTGTCACTGAATAATTTGCCATTCACTGCTTAAAAACAGAAAGCACTTCTTTCTTAAATTTTTAATGGTTCTTTTTCTAAAGAGGCTCTAAAATGAAGATTAATGAATAAATTTTTATTATTACTGGCTGGTTTACACAAATCAGTTAGCCTCTTTGGTTGAAGAGATTTTTTTTTTCTTTAATAAAGGAACAAAAGTAAGCAGAGACATAAATTTCACATAAAGGACGAAGTGTATAAAGTAAGGAATATAAATAAATTTAAAATCTAACCTTGCACACAATTTTTTTTTATTCATGGGAAAAGCATCATGGAGGAAGTTTTGATCAAGAATATGGGGGTTGGCTGAAATAGATCAAATCCTTCATGTGCTTCAGAAAGCTGTCCTAGCATGGCCAATTTATCACATTTCAAAAGAATGCTGTTGTTAGGGTAGAGATAATTTCCTCTCAGCAGCTCTTGCAGTGCTGTGTTTTGGATTTGGAATAATAATGGTGTTGATAACACACTAATGTTTTGGTTTTGGTAAGTTCTGTTTATCAGAAGTCAAGGATTTCTTTTTTTTCCTCTTGTCTCAATCTGCGCCTGTGAGAAGATGAGCAAAAGAAACTGTGTGGGGACCTGGCTGGGATGGGTGACCCAAACTGACCAAAGGGATATTCCAAACCATAGGACATCATGCCCAGTACATATACTGGGGGAGTTATCTGGAAAGCGGAAGTCTGGCTTGGGAAGAGGGTATCAGTCAGTGGGTGGTGAGAAAATGTATTGTGCATCACTTGGGTTTTCTTTCCTTTCTCTTATCATTACTATCATTTACCATTATTATGCTGTTTTACTTTGCTTTTGATTATTAAACTGTTGTCATCTCAACATACAAGTTTTGCCTTGATTCTCTTTGCCATTTCACTAAAGTGAGTAGGAAGAAAGGAGACTGAGTGAGTGGCTGCATGGAGCTTAACTTCCAGCTGGGCTTAAACTACGACAAACACTCAGGCACCTTTGAACACACAGTGGGTTCTGGAAGAACACTCTCCTGGACTCATGTAGCCTCACTGACTATGTGTCAGGTAATGAAACAATTCACCCCTTTCAAGTCAGTTATTTGGTTCTGACTTCTTTTACAAGAACCTTCAGAGGGGGCATGGAAACACCTGTATGATGCCATAAACATTACACCTGCCATTCTTTGTCTCTGGAAAATGTCCTGTGTTATAAAGCATAAGAATTCACCACATTTAGATATAGTAGCATAAATTATGGACATAATTTTTGAGAAATCACTTGATGAAGGGGAAAAATATGCCAGTGAACTGGCACTTTTCCTGTTTCCCAGCTCTCAGCAGTTTTCTTGTAAAGGTAGTCTTACTATAAGATTAATTTTTGTAAGGGTCCATTATTTCTGGATGTTAAATGAGGAATTTAAGCTTGTCCATTCTTGAAAATAACCTATTGTTTAGCATTCATTCAACTAAATCTGTACAACACAATTTTGTGATGTATCTGCAGCATTTTTGAGAGAAGCAGAATAAAATCACAGGTCTGGATGACTGGTTAGGATCCTTTGTGCTCAAGCTCCAGCAGAGGTTAATGTAGACAGAGCAGTATTGCCACACAGCTGGGAGAAGCACTAGCTATACCCAAAGCGAGCTGCTGAACTGCAGCTCTGAATATGCTTCTGGTATTTCAAAAACAAGCATGTAATTGCTTAAAAAAACATTTCTATTCAATGTCATTTGTTCAATTGAACTTATCAGTAACTCGGACTAGGCCTATAGCTCCCTACCCATTCATTTCTCCTGAAAATAAGAAAATAATCCATTCTGGGAGTTCAAACCTCTGACTACTTGGTAGCCAGGAGATTGCTAAGGTAACAAATTAGAGCTAATTTATTTCTCCCATGACAAATTAATGAACTTTTCATTTCGTTATTAAACTCAATTGTGAATGTATACCATTGCTCAGAACTGGAAAAAAAGACAATGTGCACTGGATGGCTTTGCCAAAAGCAAAGTAGAAATATAGAGATCTTTGTTTTCTCATTCAAATAGTAATTTATGTTTAATATAAATGAGATACAAATAATTGTTTTAATAAATACTTCAGAGAAAAAGAACATAAATCAGTATGAATTTCAGGATTAAAAATACTTAAAATATTGATAAAATTGTAGCAGCAAGACAAAAACATCATTTGCCTTATATCAAACTTGCACAGGAACTTGATGAAATGTAAAAGTTAAGCATTATTAAAAACCAAGGACAAAACCTTGGAAGAGGGTATTAGTGGAGCTGCAAAGAATGAATGTGATTTTGCAAAACAGGAAATTGCAATTTAGAGTCTAATACTAAAAGCCCTGCAGCTACCTTATAAAAGACTCAAATTCTGCTTCACAGGATGTGAGCAGCTGAGCTGCTAAGATAGTTTTTAGATTCCCATTGCTTAAAAGAAAATAATAATCCCCAACATCCAACAGAAGTCATATGTAACAGGTGTACACTCTAATTTTTACTAATCTGTATATACAGAAAGACTAGACTATTCATAGAATTTTAATGCAAACAAAAAATACATAGAAAGATTCTGAAGATAAACTGGAAAACATTTAAAAAGTTGAAGCTATTGCTCAAAAACATGCAAATTTGAAAACTGCTTAAAAACAAGATGTTTTTACTAATAAAATATTTTAATTATTCTATAAAATAAGAACAAATGCAAAAATATTTAAAATAGGAGGAAAACAAAAACACTCATCAAGGAAAAAAAGCCAAAAATATGCAGTTCCTGGAACGAGCATAGAAAAGGACTCTGCCCCAGCAAATTAAACATTCCTGGTGCTTCCATGCATATAGGGTAAGTACTCTGTATTTCTCATGAAATACCTAGCCAGGGCTAAGAGGCAACATTGCATAATTCAATGACTCAAACTCAGGAGTGAACATGCACAGAATGTTGTGAGAATACTGTGGTAGGTAAGAGTGGCTACTGATATATAATAAAATAAAGATCCTCTATCTTATCTTCCCAGCACATGATTCTCTCCAAACTTAAAGAAGAGTAAAGCACTTTTGACATTTCAGAGATTCACTCATTAAATTAAGTTCTCTCTTTTATAAGGATGGCAAATGAGACTGTGAAGTAAGGATGTTAAAATGTCATTATGACTTTGAAAATGAAAAGTATCTTTACACATAAAGGCAATATACATTGTAAAAATTTAACTTTCTCACCTTTAAAGAAACACATATCACATTTAATGCTTCCTTGATCTGAGGATGATGTGATTCATGGACTAGCTCCTCACAGATCCAAATACCAAGGCTGCAAAGAGCAACACATCTGTAAAACAATGTTGGAAGACAAGTTGCTGAGAAACATTCTACAGGAATGTGTAATTTTTATGATTCGTTAGGTTTTGCTAAAGACATATAACAACAAATATGTTTTTGATATTTCCAAAACAACTGCAAAAAATCCTTTCTAGTACTGTAGCTTATTTAAAAATGAGCAAGAAATCCAAAGTATACTGGTGAAGGCAGAGGAAAGGGCAGAGGAAGCACCCATCTGAGCAATTTAAAAATCTAAAAGACATCAAGAACTCCTGAATTTCTATGTGTGTTTTGATTAAAAATATGACCTGAAATCAACGTATGAGAACTTCTTATATTTTCTTAAGACAAAGCAAAAATTGGGGTGGGAGCTTCCTCCTTCCTAACACAAGAGGTTGCTCATATTTAGAGCTTCTTAGACACAGAGACCAGAGGGGAATGTTACTCTCTCATAGACATTCACATTGTTTTAGATGGACAGTAAACAAGGATGAATAGAGGAGGGGTAAATGAATCCTAGAGCCAGTATACATATTGTGATTAGTACATTAACTCTTGTTGTTTCTTCGTTTAAAATCTGGAAATAGAAAAGAAGTGTAAAGAGTATTTAGATATATGCGTTCAAATCAGCATATGGATGAAATTTGTCAGAAATGTTAGGAAGTTAGCTTAAGCAATCTCTGAGCCATTAGTTCTTTTCTTCAGGAACACAGTCTACAAATATTTTGGAAACAACTTCAGAATTCAAAATCCTGGATAATATTGGAGAGCAAGCCAAAACTGACAACAAGACAGCTGGTCATGTGACCTGCAATGCATTACATCTGGGAAAGAAAAACTGTAGGCTAGAATAGAAACAGAAGTGGCTATAAAACCTGTCCTGTAGGAAAAGGATTTTAAGGCTACATAGAATCATGAAAATGCTTGCAGACAGCAAAAATACATACAAGAATTAATTGTACATTATAGTGTAAAACCACCCTATTTGTATGTTTTAACTGAAAGAAAAATTGCAAAGTGGAGAGTGTTATGACTTTTAGAAAGCAGTTTTGTAATAAAAAAAATTAAATTCATGCGATCTCAGGATATTCCCTCTTTTTCCTGTGTTGAGAAACATTATCAACTCACATGAAGAACAGGTAAGTGGGCTGATGAAAAACTGCTCTTGGTTTTCCAAGAAACTGTTTAAAGGTTCAATAAGCTGATTTTTCCAGGTATGTAGATTTTCAGGTATGTACTTCTAGTATTTTTAAGTGACAATACATTAGTTGGACATATATTTTCACTCTATCCAAATATATAAGGCACACAAATGCACTCTTCCTTGGTAGCATTAGAGATTCCTCTTCCAATCCCATACACAGGACTGTGTAACTGAATGCTTCTGAAGATGGGTATGGAGGAATAAAATCCCAAGCAACTTAAGAAACAGAAAACTGGTAACAATCATCTCCACAGTTGTTTATTTGATGAAGATGCTTAGGTTTAAGCATCAGAGCAACCATTCCTAGTTTAATGCTTAGCTCAGTTTTTTCTGCTTCTTGTCTATACCATAACAAGGGCTCATGTACACTGAGTTGTTTCTGTTTTTCAAATTAAGTAATGTGATCTAATAAAAAAAAAATCTACCCTTCCCTCATAAATAATATTGTCCTAATCAAAGTAAAGAATGCCTTTCTAGTCCAAAAAATCCCTGAGCTGAACACCAGACTTGGCTGGGAAAGCTTATTCTCTTACCCCATTTACACCCTTTCCCACCAGCCACTATCACAGAAAGAATACTGGACTAGACCAGACCAGTTTGTTCACTTAGCATCTCTACTACAAACAATTTCAAATTCACATCATAGACCACAGTTTTGACAGTGGTGAAGAAAACCATTAATAAAATGCAACAAACTTTTACTTTAAGCTCTCTAATGTATTCACCTCAAAATAATAAAAAAAGAATCTATTAATGTAGAAGCTCTTTTTGTATGGCCTACCGTGCAGGACCAGATGGCTCCTCTCTTGCTGAGCTTAACACAGTTTTAATTATGAGTTCCTAAAATGAAGAGGAAATAATCACTGATTTACATGTAACTCCATCGCAGAAAGCATCAAAATATTATTATAGTGCACACAGGCATATTGCTTAGCTGAGTCCCTACGTTGTGGTCAGATGAATTGTTTGCTTACCAGTGCTCCAAATATCTAGCCTGTCCAAGATACTCATTACCGTGCCACCCCAAGAATATCCTACACATTACTGTCCTAATTCTGCTGATGAGCCATGTATCCAATTCTTGTCAAAATATTTCCATAAAATATCAAGGGTAAAAAAAGAAATAGTAAAGGACTCCCTGAAGCTATCTTGAGTAGTGCTAAAGGGTATGACAGAAAGAATCTTTTACTTTAAGGTTTAAACAAGCATTTCAAAAAAATTAATTGATTTTAAAAATATTTTCAACTAGTAGCAGACCGAGTGCCTACAGTGCCTTAAGAATGCTGTCAAGAAGACCTGTGACTCAACTACAGTGAAATGTCCCTAAAGCTGTTGGCTGCCCTTAATATAATTCACATAAACAGCCATTCTACAATCTAAATGAGAAAGAAGAAATTCAAAAATCAGTTTCCAAAGGAGAGCAAGGTATAAAGCAGCTCTCAAGTCATCATTTCTCCCTAAACTGAAACAGTTTGGAAAACTTAAAGGAGCCTTTCTTAGACACACAAACTGAGTTCTGTGCAGTTTCAGTACATTGTCACACTACAGAACTGTGTCATGACATACAAGGTAAGGACTCCATTAATATTGGCCTTTTGAAGAAAAAACATACTGCTGTACAGAACACATTGCTGTACAAAAATATTTTAAAGCCTCTAAATAGAGGCAGATTTCATCAGTTGTGAAATAAATAAAATTGTCCAAATAAATTAAATAATGAATCTTAAACCTCTCAATCTTCTTGTCTCAGCTAATTAAATCTGTGATACCTGCAAATCTCCCTAATGAGAGGAGGCTTGAAAGGGTGAGATAATGTATAATTTCCTTCTACAAACATAAGAAAACACTTTATTATTAAATTATTAGCAATTATAATGTATCTTTAGAAGTATAAAGTTTGACAAGACTATATGGGATCTTATATTTGAAATTACTTTCAAAGAATGTTAAGATCTTAAAATCTTAATATTTTCTGCAAAAGCACAATATTAAACATGTCCTGGGTGATAGAATACTACCCAAATATTCTTAAAATTCCTACCTTAACATCTGTAAACTGAGACACAGCAATGTCAGGAATATTTGGGTGAAGAGCTGGTAGTTCACGATATAAATTGGGAAAACAGACTAGAGATCCTAAAAGAACCTGTGCTTCAACTCTTGGTGCCTGAAAAAAACAGGTGGGAAGAAATATATATTCTTACTGCAATCAGGAAGCTGTCATTTCTAGCTATCTTAAAAGAGAATGATGGTTAAAATTGTATACAGCTATTGCCTTTATTCTGGAAATTCTCTGCTCCTGCAAAGCTGAGTAAACAGAGACCTCAGCTCCTTGGATTGTTACTCATGAACACCCCTGCTCTCATTTTCCAAGACAGTAAAAAGGAGGCAGAGGAATTGTTAGGACTACAGACAAATGACAGAGCTGATAACTGGGTTCAGGTCTTAGGTTCAACTAATTGACCAGGATGTGGAGAACTACTAAATGGGATATGAGGCATTACTGAACAGGAAAAGCTACAGTATAAGAAGCTGACAAGAGACTTCAGATAGTACCTTGAGGGAGACTGGATTTCATAACTGGTTAGAGGGGGATTGATGGGAGAACAGTCAAAATTCACAGAGAGCTGGAGGAGATTATGGGGAATTCGAAAGAGTACAATATGCACAGCCAACAGCAACTAGGTAATCACATCAGTATTACTACATAAGGCTGAACTTGCCTGAGTAATAAAATTAGAAATGTGAAAAAAATCCAAACAGTGCAAACACTTGCACATTTGAGTTCTCAAGCCTGATCATAAAAGCTATTCCATAGCAAAGATATGGACGAGTAAGTACATTTTTTTAATGAAATCATAATCAAAACGGACATTTACTTTAAAACATCTTCAGGTGGTCACAATTTTTGTAACTCTAAAATAAGATTCTCTGCTTCAACAGTAATTTTGCATTCTTCGCATATTTTCTGGAGAGGCATGTGTAGTGCTCTAGAATAAATCATTAACATTACCTGTATTTGATAAACACTGCATTGAATTCTGGGATCAATTTGACACCCTAGTCAAGGAAAAATATACTCCTCAGTATTCTTTCAAATTCTTCCTCACTCATAAACGAGAATTAACTGATGAATACTTACATTGAGGAAAGAAGAAGCAGCCACTCTTCCTGCTGCTACAATGAAATCCATAATAAGCATGGTAGCACCAGGCAAACCAAGTGAAAAGAACTGAGGAGAGCAGTGCTTGATGATTGTATTGACAATATCCTCGCAGAAGGAAAAGGGAAAAAAGGAAGAGTATCAACACAAATCAAATGAAAAATGAAAGAAAAAAGGCAGGTATTTATAAAAGTTGGAAAGCAAAAATGTGAGAAAGAAAACTTATTGTGGCCAGTAGAACACTCATTAGTGAGAGAAGAGTAGCACAAAAAGAGAAATTCCTTAAGTATACTCATATTAATGTATGTAAACTTGGTATACTTTATAGATCATTTAAGCTTGGACAATAGTTCATATATTAATTTACAGTCAGCTTTTAACAGTTCTGTAACTGATTAACCATTCATTTGAATAGGTACAGAAGAGATACAGTAAGATAACCAGCTATTATACCTTAACAACTGCTTAATAATCTCCAGCAAGTACTGTCCAACTTTAAAAAAGGTTAGCCTCTTACATATACCCATATGGAACCAAAATTTGAAGGAAGATAATAAAATGTTTTGTAACATTTTTGGTATGTAGTTAATCAGCACAGCATATTATGTTCTTGTAGACTTACAAAAATCATTGTACGTGTTGAAATTTTTTCAAAAGTACTTGAAAAAAATATAAAATGCTTTAATGGTAAAAAAAACATCCCAAGTCTACAGGTAGACGCCCCTGCCTTTTCTCCTTTAATAATTCTCCTCAAGTAGCAATATCCAACTAAATGGCAGTATTCTCATAGGAGGATCTTCAATTCAGCAAGAAAAGCAGCATTAATGGTTGTTAGAGGACAGAAACTGGAGGTCTGTCCTATCCATAGTCATCTGTGGAATAATATTGGACTAATTCTATTCTTCCCAATTAATGAAAACTGGGTTGCTTGAACCTTTGATCTACCCATGCCTATAATTGTTCCTCAAAAATATTCACAAACCCCTCTTTTTTACACTTCTGCAAACCTTCAAAAAGTATTTAAGTCATACAATATTTTCAGACTTCTTAATATCAAAACCTATACAAAAGGTCTACTCCCACTGATCAGATACGCTCAGTACATCTCAGTTTGCTGGTTCCTATACTTGCTGTAGAAACAAAGTCCTCCAATGTAGTGAGCACAATTTACTAGCTAAACTGTTGCATCAGGGAGCAAGTAAGAAGAACAGTAGACTTTAGAGAGATCTGCTTCCTTCTCTTTCTTGCATACTTCAATCTGTAACATACAATCAATAAAAAATGAGAGAGTACCTTTTCTGCCCTAATATTTGCTTGAAATGGACTACAAAAAAAGCATTTTTGAATACAACCAAGAACATGAAGATCATTTATCAGTTTTCTTTTTAGAAAAAGTATCAGTAACAGCACTAATTTCAAAAACAAAGGTAAATTACTCAGATGAAAATACATTGAGTATTTTTATGAACAGAATTTTATTTTCAGTCATAACATTTATATTATCTTGAATTTCATAATTAACTTACTTGATCAACATGAAGAAGTCCACAGTGCATTATATTGTAGAAATGAGTTAAAAAATCCCTGTTTGGAGAAACATCTTGTCTTCGTTTCATTGTCTTACAAATAAGTTTATAAGCATGTAGCTTTCCTTGTTTGTATTTATCAGTCAGCATTGTTGCCTACAGTTTTAGAACAATATTTATTATTCATAAATAATACATTAAACACTCTTCTACACTTATGTTAACTTTTATTTCTGTTTCACAGCTTAGTGCTCAAATTTACCTTGAAGAGCCATGGTGTTAGAATTCTCAGTGGTGGAATTAAAACCGGGGGAGATGGTGAAGTTAGGTTATCTGTTGAAATACCAAGATTGTCTCTTATCTGCAATTAAAAACAAAACAGAAAGAGAATTATTTAAGGGAAATATATAAGGTGGTGTTTTTTTCTTTTTGAAAATCATACCCAAACAGGTCAGGTTGGAGAAAAGTTTCAGTTCTTTTACCTTGGCCAGATTCTGCCACAGTTCACACAGATAATCAAAAACCTGGGCATGAATTTCTGGATCCATGATGCTGTTGACATCTCCCAGAATTCCTAGCATCCTCCTCCACATCACAGTAGCAACATCTGCATGCCATCCTGTAAGTGTTCCCCCAGCCATCACACTGCAACATTCTGAGGGGAATTCACTAGTTTCTGTAATGGAAGAAAAAAAGCATAGTGAGATCTACCTCTCCAGAACTAGAAAAGTTCTGATACAACTATTAAATACACACTCATAAAACTGAATGATGGGACTTTCAGAATAAGGTATTTTTTACCCATTCAGCCACCTCAACACTGTATATGTTACGCTTTGTCTATTATAAACTCTATAGGGGAAGAATTGTCCTGTTTCTTATATTCTTTCATGAAATAACATTTAAGGTCACTGCTGGAGCTCTAATACAGATCTGATGGACCTAGTAATACCACTCCTCTTCTAAGTATTTTCTTACATTTCTTGAAGTCAATGAATCTCCAGAACCCCACCTGGCTGCTTTCAAGTAAAATTATCTTTCAACTTTATGTTTTTCCTAGTAATGCATAAAGAATGTTTTTTTTCAGAATCTACTAGGAAAGAACATTATTGCAAATCAAAGAGAAAAGTGTGACTAAACTTGTCTCTAGCTATTGTCCTTTAAAAAGGTAATTTGTATGAATGAGAGGCAACATACAGTAACTTAGCACCACAATCCTAACACCCACCTAGCTCTTTGCACACATCAGTGCTATATGAATTAACATTCTTACTTTAGGTGGAAGATGATTTAATCTAGACTGTCCATATAAAGAAACCTTCAGTAGATTATGATGGCTCAAGTCTACTCAGGTCACGCTTAACTACCTAAACAGCCTCAAAATACTAGATAATGAGCCAGCTTGAGAGCAGCAAGCATTCAGAATCTTCTTTCCACCCCCTTAGGTGGATAATTCATTGGGATCTTCTGAAAATCTTGTAGCCCTCACAGGCATGACAAATCAAAATTAAATCTGAATTCAGCCTAATCACATAGCCTCTTCTTTTGAACTTCTGGGCCACTGTGGTAGAGACACTATTGATTTCTAGGCTGTAGATTTTGAAGGACAAAGCAAAATGATCCTTCTGTCCATCAGTAGGCTACTTAAAGAAATAGGGTCTGAAATACATAGCAGACACTCTTTTGCTTCCATGAGACCAAATGCAGGAGAAATATTCACATCACATTTACAAAGAAAATGTATCTTAGAATTTGATAGCTAAAATAGTTGATGTAATTACAAATTGGTTTAAATATGAAAGGGAAATGAACCAAACTTGCAAGGACAATTTATAAGATTATGAAATTATGTCTTATTATTTATACATCAATGATAAAACAGTCCATGGCAGGACCACATGCTAAATTAAGCTGCCACAATTCTAAGCAACTACAACAATTATAAATATATGGACTATTAATCCACTGCCAAAAACTCCAATGAAATGTAGGTTTTTTTTTAAAACATTTTTCTTTACTTTTAAAAGCAATGACTGTAATTAAATTTTTTTTGAAGTGCAGATGAAATAGCCTTGTACAGGACTG